CTCTCTCTCTCTCTCTCTCTCTCTCTCTCTCTCTCACTCACTCTCTCTCCCTCTCTGAAAGACGAATGTAACCTGGATTAAGCTTGAAACATCGCCAAATATCGTCAACTGACAGTGGACAACACTAATGAACAGCGGACATACGCGGGATAGAACATAAAATGTATCAGAGTTTAAGGCCCTCTTCGCCAGGGGAACAGTCTTTCATTCCCTGAAACACCACGTCCCTATAGTGTCAAAAGGAAAGCACTATTCCCAGTGACACTGGGGATAGGCCCAGAAACTATTCCCAGGGACACTGGGGATAGGCCCAGAAACTATTCCCAGTGACACTGAGAACAGACAGGCCCATTAGATATATTGTTCCCACACTGATCTACATAGGCATAATGGTGATGAGTTACTAAATACTAGACTAGATCTAACTAAACTAAAGTAGATTCTGGTGTGAGTGGAAGAAATATGTTTAAAGAAAAGGGAATGATTATTCTATGCTTGCTTGTTATTCAGTCGTAATTTAAAAGTCCGTGTAGATCTAGATCTACTTATACGGGTTTTGGCGACCACGGTACAGGACAGGTAGAAATCTTTCCCGATTCTTCTTTCTTATAGATCTAATCTAGATCTAGGTCTAGTTCTAATCTAGATCTATTCTACGGTCGAGTCTAAGCCCTAAGTAAGAGAAGAGACCAAAAGTACTGAACTGAAGGGAGAAGAGAGTCTACAATGCAAAGACTCCTGATTTTTTTTATGCAAAAGAGTTCCGTTGTCACTGGGAATTGTTTCTGTACCTATCCCCAATGTCACTGGGAATAGTCACTTCGGTGTCAAAAATTCGTGGCGCAACTTCTTGTCAAATAATCCCTTAAGAATCGAACATAAACTCTCCAGCTTTTGCATAGTGACTTATATCAATTTGTCTTAACAGATCACTATATTTGTAAACACCTGTTAGCTCTATTCTAGAAAATTCCTTAATAAATGCTAATTAAAAAATCATTGATAGTGGTTTCTACTTATTTTACAAGGTTT